GATAGGAACCTCCATCAGAACCACCGGTGATGATGGGATGAGGAGGGATGTCCTTCAAAGCTTGGTTAGGTGCCAGCTCCCCAGGTCTGACAGGAGCTCTCACATTAATGTTTGCAGTACCAGGAGCAACATTTAATATCATCAGGGCTTGGCTTTATTCTGTCCCTGAGGGCTTGCAGAGGTGGCAGTCATCTGCACCTTCCCTGGCACTGGTGATCAGGCTGCCACCCATAATCCCAAGGCTGCATGAGCTGACCCCAAACCAAATTTGTTTGTGAAGATGTGGAAAAGAAGGAGATTTTGTTGTGTAATGTTTGCAGTCAAGGTTCTGGGGAGGGGAATATGGTCTCTGGGTCAGAGGATCTCATCTCCTGCTTGGCTCTGTGCTGACTCCTCAGCTTCAGTGTCACAGAAGCATAGAATCAATATTTACCCTTCCAGTTGAGTTGGAAGGGACCCCTGAAGGCCATCTAGTCCCACTCTGTGCAATGGGGGTCACCCACATCTCCATCAGGTGCTCAGAGCCTCATCCAGCCTGACTCCAATGGCTCCAGGAATGGGACATCCACCACATTCCAGTATGAAACGTCAGCCTGAAAAATGCATGGAGGCCTGTTCACCATTTACACAGCAGTGCTGGGGCAGAGGACACAGCGTGCATCACCCAAAAGTTCACTGGAAGACGGTGAAGGTGATCAGGAAGGGAAGTAACTTCCCATGCCTCGCGATCCAAGCTGTAAAAAGGGAAATACTGTGGGAGGCTGTCGCTGCTGGGGAGCAGCGGGTGGCAATTGAATGGGGCTGGGCTGTGGGCACCCACAGACTGTGCTGCGGGGAGAAGCGCCGGGCAGGGCGGTGGGTGCGGGGGGAGCAGCGCTTCTCAGTGCATCTCGCTAGAGGGTGCCCGCTCGCTGCGCTTGCAGCAGCACACAAGCCCCTGCCCAGGCTTGGAGGTTTTGGGCTCCGAGCGTCCTTGCCGGCTCGTCCCGTCCTCTTTTCATTGCCCGAAATCGGTTGCGGTATCTTCTGCACGGTGCGCTTGGGCCAGAGGTGCTGCCTTGAGAGTTGGTGGTGCGCAAGGAGCAAATTGGGTTGATTGTAGGCAGTTCGTTGTTCTGTGTGCAGGAAGCATCCCTCATCTTGGACATGGTTCCCAGATGATGATGCCAGCCGCCTCCAGCCCTCCCTCTGATCCCCAGTGTTCCATTGGGGGTTACCCCGCATGCCTTGGTGGGCTTATGTGCCTCTCTTGTCCCCTTTCCCATCAGTACACTGCAGGAGGGGACTTCACAGGGTTGTTGCTCCCATTGCTGGCTCTTGATCTTGTTGTTATTGCTGTCCTCCCAAAGGCAGGAGATGTGCTGTCCTCTTCCTCTCTGGACATTCTCCTTGCTTCCCTCAGATCATTGCTTTTCAGATTATGTCTGAATTCCCCTCTTGAGCACTCACACCCCTGTTAGACTGGAGCCCACAATGGAGGTCACAAGGACATTCTCCACCCCTCAAAATCATATCCTCAGTCCACACTTCTGTGAAAATGTTGGCCAGACCCAGATCTGAAGCAAGCTTACATATTTGGGAGTGAGCCATTGCCAACCACTTGCTATGCTGTCCTTCAGTCACTTGCATCCTTTCCTCCTTAGTTGTTCCTACTGGAGATAATAGTCAGGCTTTCTGAGCCCAAACCCTGCAACAGCAAATTCACCAATGTCCATGGATCTGCCCATGGGCACTACTGTTACCATCCTGGCAGGGTCTAGGGCAACTTCTCTGAAGGAACTATAATTAATTAAGAAACCATTGGAAAAAAACAATCTCTTGCATCTTCTCTCTTGCGTTTTTATCCTTCCCTCCAACCCTACCAAAGTTTGGAAGCTCACATTTAAAATACAGAGGAGAGCAAAAGGGGAGTGTGCCTTATTTTTGGCAGGCACTGCAGTTGTTAATGAAGAGTGACATTTTCCGAGGCTATGGCAGAACAAGCAGAAGTCCAGCTCTCCATGCTTGGCTCTGCAGAGTGCAAACTGTTGTGCGGCCGAGGCTTTGAAATAAGTTATTCTTATTGTGATTCTTGTTTATAACATCAGATTCATTGTTTGCAATTTTGTTCGGTGGCATCCAATCAATAGCAGACAATAAAATATTATTTCGAGTGGTGTAGACGTTCCACGAGAATGTGATTGATTGCTTTAATTTCTGCCTTCCTCAGTGTTTTTACTAAACCTTGTCTTGATTTCTTTCCTCCTGCCTAGCTCTCTTCAGCGTCAGTTGTTAAATAAAGTGACATATTTATTATATGAGTTTTATTTGACAGATTGCCGGGTGACATATTTTAGATTAATTTTTTCATTTAAAGATGTATGTAAATGTGCATGTGAAATTATATACATACAGACACGCACACACAAATACGTGTACACTGTATAAACACAGCGTGTGCGTGAACTTGCTCAAGGCCAAAATTTCCAAGCACAACTTGAGATTTTGGGTGCTGTTCTTAGGTGTTTGACACCACATTAACGAGCCCAAACTCAATTTCCAGAAGGTGTGTGACCATGCAGTTCAGGTGACCAGGTTAGTGTGTGTTTTATGACATTCCCAACACTCTGATAAAGTTTAACATCTCTTCAGTTGGGCAGCAGTAACAGCCAGGTGATCACTCTTGGTTTTCCATGTTAACCAGGTTAACGTTAAGCCCACCACTGAGAATAGTTACACTAAAACACGTCCTGAAGGTGGCTTGAATGTGTAAATTTTTTACCGTGTTATGTCCAGAAATGTTCTTTGTGAAAAAAGGAAAACCACCACCACCAACAAAAAGGAATTTGTTGGGACTATTTCTAATAATGCTCAGTCCCTTGTGGAACACCTTTCTTTCTTTGAGTCAGGTGTGCATGGAGATTGAAGTCAAGCTCATTTCATGTACAGATATGGGCCATGGGATTTAGTGCATCTCCTAAATTGTGGCCTAAATGAGCTGTTTCTCCCCATAAATACTGCATGACTCCAAGTTAGGTGCCCTGGGACTTAATGGCCAGTCCCAGAAATAAAGGATCTGGAGGAGAAGGCTCTGGGGAGATCTCATCGTGGCCTTCTAGTACTTGAGGGGAGCTTATAAGCAGGAGATGGACTGAATTTTTATACAGAACAATAGTGATAGGACAAGGAGGAATGGCTTTAAACTAAAAGGGGAAATTTAGGTTAGATGTTAAGGGGAATTGAGGGGAAATTCTTTACTCAGAGAGCAGTGAGGCCCTGGCACTGCTGCCCAGAGAGCTGTGTGCGCCCCATCCCTGGAGGTGCTCAGGGCCAGGCTGGATGGAGCTATGGGCAGCTTGAGCTGTGGGGGGCAGCCAGCCCATGGTGGGGGCTGTAAGTGGATGGCCCTTAAGGTCCCTTCTAAGCCAAGCCATTCTATGATTCTATAATTCTGTGATGTCATAGAACACATGGCAACTGCTTCCAGCTTTAAGATATTGGGCTGTAAATCCTAGTCTTGGTAGCGGACTGAACGTTGCTTTGTGATGTGCCCAGTGTGCTGTGGATAAGGAATTTCAGAGCTGAAGAACAGCTGGGTGCTGTGAAACATCCATTCTTGATCCCCAGACGATGACTTCTTTTTTGTACTCTTCTGAATTTTTCATTTAAAATGGAAATTATCTGAACTTGCTTAGCAATGTAGGATGTTCTCATAGCAGAGAAGCGTTAAAGACTTCCTAGGCTCTGAACTGCGTGCTGAAAATAGAGTACATTTGTGTTTATTTTCTAATCCTTTCAGAATGTTGTTGGGGTAGGGCTTAAGCTCAGCCACATCCCTTTTCATGAACATAGCTTGTTGTCTCTGAGCTTAAAGAACACAACCAACAAACAACCAACAAATAAATCCTATTACTCCAAAATATGATTAGTGTTCTGGTTGGAATTATAAATCACCTTCATTTAAAATGCACTGTTGCTACAAGTTAGGATTTGAAAGTACAATCATGCAAATGCCATTTGCAATGTTTTCACTCTAGTAACCTTGGCAATACGGCAAACACCTTTCCTGTTTGATACATACAGTTTTGGAATTTCAATTGTAATGCAGAGAGGGAAGCTGCCAATTTGTGCCACTTCTTGAGGGGAAGAGGTCATTTCTGGGGCAAAATTTGGCTGCCGCTGGAGCCATGCCTTTTAAGTCTGCTGGATTCTGGTGCTTTGTTTTATGTTATTTTACGCTGGTTATATCCAGCTTTACAATATTTAAGCCCTTCTTATAAATCAAAATCACGGAGCATAAATATTTATCAGCAAAAGAAATAAGCTGCACAGTAGACAAGCTCAGGAATAGAAAAAGCCAACTATTGCTTATAAAGGCAAAAACAGCGAGTTATGTTTTCATCCTGTCAAAAGTTAACGTGTAAAAGCAGTCACAGACGCAAGCACCTTAATTCCCTCTTCATTTGATATTAAACACTCCAGATCAGTGTGGATATTCATGCTGCAACTTTGGGGCTGGTACAGGGAAAGAGTAGGGCTTCCCTTGGTCGCTTCTCCTTCCTGCTTAGCAGGCACATAGCCCTGGAAACAGCCCCCACAGTGCTGCTTGACCTGCCAATGTCTGCTGGTGGTTCCTGTTGGTGGACCTGGAGTTGCAGGTCAGCTTTGACCACTGTAGTGTTGTTACCTGCCTGGTGGGGTGAAAGGGATTCTTTGGAAGAGGCATCTCATTGTGAATGTCGTAGAGCCAGAATTTCTGCTTGTGGGTGGAAAAAAACCAACATCCTCAAGAGATGTAATGAGAAACTGACCTTCATTAATCTTTGCCCTCCCACTAAAAAGTTGCTCTGATGTTTTCTCACACAGAAGGCTCCTCAGCAATGCTGATTTTCCAATGGCAGCCACTCTAAGAAATTCCTGTTCCCATCTTCCTCAAGCCATGGCTTTCTGCTCCTGGATGTCAGCCCTGTTCTTTGAGCTGGGCACACCTGAACCTGCTGTACTTCAGAAGGTGAGTGAGATGGCAGCACGTCAGCACCTAGAATCACAAAACCTTTAAGGTTGGAACTAAGATCACCAAGTCCAACCACCAGCCCATCCCCACCATGCCCACTAACCACGTCCCTCAGTGCCACATCTCCATGCTTCTCAAAGACACAAAGCTTCACAGGGACAGTAATACCACCTCCCTGTGCCAGTGCAGTGCAGCTCTTTCAAAGAATAAGTTTTTCCTAGTATTTTCCTAGTTCCTCAAATGTTGGAAGCAGGGATCAACTATATGTTGTTGCTCTTGAGGCCCATCTAAACCTTTTCAGAAGGAGAGGCTCTGGCAGTTGTGATCATGAACAGCAAGCAGAAAAGTTTGGAAGGTTATGTAAGTACAGCGTAAGTTATGTAAATGCTTTAAGCTGCCTGAAGAGGTGGTGGAGTTTGCTCCTTGGAGATTTCCAAAGATGTGGGTCTGCCTGGACGTAGGTCTGGGCACCTTGCTCCGAATGACCCCATTGGAGCAGAGGTTAGAGAGATGGACCCAGAGCTGACTTCTGATCTCAACCATTCTGTGATTCCGAAGTTGAGTGTACGTACAGAAATGCAGAGATAGCGACTGGCTGAGTGCTGGGATGTGCCTGCCTGGCCGCTTCCCTGGTCCCCATGTTGTTCCCCATGTGATCACGACAGGAGGGATCCCCTGGGTTCATGCATGGGTGGACAGAGCTTTGAAGCAGAAGCAAGATGTCAGGAATTCTCTGATTTACAAGAGCAAAGGGCTCTCATCATTCCTGTAGGAACAGAACACCATCACATACCCCACTTTTCTGCAGTGCTCACTTCCTACAGAAAGATTTTACTTTGAAATGAAACACCTTTCCTGTGCTTTTTCAGCATGGGTAGCTAGCATGAACATGAAAGCAGCCATGGGCTGGGTGCTGGGGCTGTATAGGGGCCCCTCTGCCTCTGCAAGAGCTCTTTGTGTGACTGCTTTGTTTAGCATCGCCTTTTCAGACAGGCATTTTTCAACCCTTAGCATTGTTCAGGTTCTACTGCAGAGTCAAATGTTAATCGGTGCGTTGTAGTAAAATGTTTTATGGGACAATTTAGCTTGAGCTGTACCCTCTCCCTTTCCATTGTTTTTTCTCAAGGAGCACAAGGGGCTGAGTGATGCTGTTTTCCAGGTGTGAGCTCTTCTGACCACTCGCCATCCTTTCAAGCAGGGAATGCAGTTAGAGCACTAAAGTTGGAACTGGTGTTTCTCCTGTCTGTGGCATGTGGATGATCCTGTTTGCATTTGTTGGCTTTGAGTGGCAATCATTGCTCCCCACACAGATACCCAAGTGTGACATCCATCCCCAAGGACAAGGGCCATGCTCAGGCATCTTGTCCAAAGGGGACCACGTTTTATGCCCATCTCCTTAAGAAACCCATCCCATGTCCAACCTTCCTTGTCACAAGTGGCACAGTGCTGGACGTGGTTCCCTTGGAAAATAAAATCCTGCATCACAAAGATGAAACTGTTTTGTTCATGGCTCCCATGGACAAGTGTGTTCTGAGAAGACTGACTCAAGTCAGAGGTAAAGATGCTGCTCACACCTCAGCTGATCTCAACAGCCATCTGAAAACCCCACTAGAGGTATAAAAAGACACATCTGCAAATCAAGGTGTTATTTGGACACTCTTCTCTTCGGGAAAATTCCATAAAGTTAAATAGTGATAGGAGCAGAATGCTTGAAGTATTGAATATGCTGCTATGTACTTTTTTTCTCCATATACTGTAGAATTTTTGTGCATATCAAGATCATTTATATGAACATCTTTAACACTTTATTTTCTATTCCATTTTGTTAGCAGGATCTGAAACAGAAAACATAAGTGTCCATTACAGTATGTACAGCATCCTCCTAAGGATTTTGTTTCTGAGATCCACAAAAGAAGTGTGTTCTTCATCAGTTAAAGCTGTCCCTTTTTAGCATCTCCTAATCCCTCCCATTGTTGGAGGTCTTCATCCAGCTGCAAAGATAATCCTTCCACTTGGAGGCCTAGGCTCCAAAATTCACCCTCTGCACAGAATTTCCCAGTCTTGATTTAATGTTTTGGGTTTTGCTCAAATAAGAGGCATGGCAGCGTTGAAACAAGAATGTACAAATGCATCTTGTCTTGTGTTGGTACTGTGGAAGCATTTCCAATCACAAAATTCTGCAGGAAAAAGGGCTGGATGGGAAATTTCCATGTATGCTGGAAATAGGCATAGTAAATAGCTGGGCTGTTTTCTACTCTGAGTCTCAGAGGACCAGAATCTGTTCAGGGATTTCTCTCTCTCTTTTTTTTTTTCTCCCCATCTCCCAAATGTTTAGTTTTTCTGCTTTCTTCTTTTGGCCTTTACCTGTTTGATCTTGTGGGAAAAGCCATTAAAGACTGAGGAGGCCCATCAGTGAATAATTGCTAGCACCCTGTAATTGAACTAATCAGAGGTGGTTAATTGTGATGGGAAAATAAGTGTAGAAGGGCCACCGCTGTGGTTTGCAGGCTGGGGATGAAGCTGCTGAGCTGACTGCTGACAGACAATGAATGAGAAATATTTGAGTTTGGGTTCTCTTCCAAGGCATTAGGTGACTCGTGGTTTGTAGCCCTATCTCTAGGCACCTCCAATCCCTGAGGCACAGTTAAGCTGCATTAATTCCAGGTTTTGTTACCTCACCATGACTTACTCCTTTTTCCAACTTGGATTGCGATGTGCCTTAGATGGAAAAGCTTTGTTGATGTCTTCTTTTGCCTCTTGTTTATAGAAGAAGGTGTGATCTGGAATGAGGGGTTTGAAATTACTACCCCAGTACCTGAGGGAAATCTCTACAACCTGATTCCTTCTCTGTTTGGAGAACTCTACAACTTGAGTACTTACATCACTATTCTTCTGCCCTCTGGGTTGCTCTGGTTTACCTAAATATGCTGTTTGGGGTGTATTTTGTGATCCTGACCCGAGTGAGATAAGAAGGCTTTGACATGTCTTTTCAGCTGTGAGATATTCAACCAAAACTCCTACATCAGGCAGTGATTGGGGTATCACTCCTAAGAGGCAAGGGTAGACCCTGCACAGAGCCTGGATGGGAAAACACCAAAAAGCCTTTTTTTTTTTTTACTTTCTCTTCCTTTAAACTTTATCGAGTGTTCCTGTCATCCTGCTTTTTTGGAAGAACCACATCCCTGCCTTCTTTTGCAGAGCTCACCCTATTTGTGCTTCCTTGGATACGTGCCTTAAGTTGAAATGATTGTTGTGTTTTGCTTTCCTCATATTCTGACCAAACATCTAGACTATGGCTTGGATGAGCCTCTTGTGCCAGCTTTTATTGTTTGTTGACAAGAGACTTGATTTGCTTTTCTTTTTCCTTTTCATAACTGATGGATGTGAATGATAGGAGAACAATGCCCTTTTTATTTTCTCCTAAGGAAGGATCCTCTCTTGGATGAGAGCTCCTGGGTTGTTTTGTTCAGAGCTTGTGTAGAAATGTATGGAAAGATGGTAGAAGTTTGTGGAAACTATGTTGGGTGGTGGAATTTCTGGCCAGGGAGAAATATCCCTACCTAAAATACCTGAAGCGGGGATGAGTTGAGTGGTCACCTCAGAAAAGAGAAACTGAAGCTGCATCACAACTGTAGATTGAAACGCACTTTTCTGCATGCTTACAGTAGATCAATTGCTCTTCTCCTCTTGCACCTTTCTCACATCATATGGGTATCTCAATAACCATTGAGCAGGGAGAAGGTAGAAAAGAGCTTTCGTTCCTTTCTCTCCTCTTCTTCCTTGTTCTCTGTCCCCACTGAATGTCTGCAAGACCATGAGGTTAGAGCTTTGCAGAACCAGCTTTTGAAATGTCCTGAAATGATAACCATTTCCTACCCAGCCCTACCCCTCCTGGGGGGGCTTGAGCTGCCGCAGGGGATTTGCAGGATGTGGGTACCTCTGTGTATCCAAACGCCTGCTTCTCACAAAGAAACATTTCTGTTCCTCTGACACTGTTTTTGTGTCACAGTGATCATTTTTCATTTTTAAAGGCCGGCATTCCCTTCAACTATCAACTTGCCACTCCTTTCGTGTGATGTATTGGGGACCCTTTGGGGACTTCTGTGAATACCAGAGATTGCCTTCAAAGAAACTGCGTTTTTCCTGTTTTACCTGCTGGCTCTCATCACTTGCTCTTCAACCTAAAAAAATCCCTAACCCCATGAGAAGGAAACCAGACAGTGTTCCGCCACCAGGATAAGATGCTAACTGTACCTTACACTGCCAAGCCTGCAAAACATGAATTCAATCCCAATTTAAAGTTGTTTTTAAACACTTAGGCTGCCTGCACAGCTCACAGAAAATCTCGTTTGTCTGGTTTACATGTCTCTTGGTGTTTGTTCCACTTCATCCTGCAGTGTCCTCTTGTCTGTCTGCTCTTGGCAAGAGAAGCTGCCACTTCATAAGCATTAGAGATGGGCTTCTCACACTGTAGACTTACAAATAATAATAGAAACCAATAATGTTCATACTGTAAATGCGAGTTAAGAAACAGCTGTATGTGGAAGAAGTATTCATATTTTATGAGAATCTCTGTGCAGTCAGTGAGGTACACACATAGCTGTGCTGAACAGGTGAACAAATAGAAATTTAGGCTACAAATACCATTTCCTAAACAGGAGTAGGGGCCTGCTTGCTTTTCCAGAATCATTCTGGTTTTGAACATGGAGAGAGGCGAGGAGCTCAGAAGGGTGCATGCGGGAATGCAGGTGTGTCTTCAGGTTGCATATCAGGGACATGAAGAGCGTCCCCAGGGCAGCAGGCACAGCCCTGAGCTGCTGGAGTTCAAGAAACGTTCGGACAGCTTTCTCAGATACATGGTCTGATTTTTGGGTGGTCCTCTGTGGAGCCAGGAGTTGAACTCAGTGATCCTTACGGGCTGCTTCCAACTCAGGATATTCTGTGATTATGTTCTTTTCAGTGAATCTTAACAGTTATTTTCCTTATAAACATGGTGTTACACACAATCAAAAGATGTTAAAATGTGTCATATTAATGACCTGCTTCATATTCAAGTTTCGTTCTGGCATTCCGTTCTCAGCCACTAATTTGAGTAACATTTTATTCACACTTGTTAACCGTCAGGAGACTCTAACTCAGTAGAAGTGGATATTCATTGATTTCCCTTTGATAATGAATTGATACAACACTAAAAAACATTGTCAGCCTTCCTGTACCTGTTGCAGTACCTGAAAAGAGTGTGTCATGTAGGCCAGACACTTCATATCTGACAAGGATTCCTTGGGGGGAATTCTTGTGTTTGATTTTAGTGGAATAAATGAGCCCCGAAAAGAGCCAGTTAAAGTATGAGACCACGAGAGCATGCTAATGTATCTGCCTAATTGTTTCCAAAACCTCTCCAGAATGCTGCCTATGGTCCAGGACTCTCCTCCAGTTAGCAGCTGAAGCCTTCAAAGACTCAGGAGTGTTACCACAGGGGAAAAAATAGTAGGGGAGCAAACAGCATAGCCAACACTCCTAAATCTGATTGATTGACCAGCTTGTCTCCTTCTCTCTGTCAACCTAAACCATGTCAAACTGCATTAGATCTTCACAATAAGAGCAGCCATCACCTATCACAGGAACAGGCTGCCCAGAGAACTTTTTGGGTGCCCCATCCCTAGAGGTACTCAAGGCCAGGTTGGATGGGGCCCTGGGCAGCCTGAGCTGGTGGGGTGCAGCTCTGCCCATGACAGGGGTTTGGAACTGGATGGTCTTTGAGGTTCCCTCCAACCTAATCCATTCTATGATTTTATGAATGGAAAGCAAGCAGCAGCTGAGTATGCATCTTTGGAGGAAACTGGAAAGATTTTGACCCCTAAAGTCTGTTGAGGGTCCTGTTGTGTTTTTTTTTAACTCTGCTGGAAATCTTGATGGTTGGAACACACCCAGTTTGTTTTTAGAGCTGTCTGGGGAGTTGTCTGGATGTCAATGAAATTTGTAATGGCAATGGCACAGAGGAACCCAACAAAAACAGTGTTAAAGGAGGGATACTCAAGCATGAAGAATCATTTTGAATGACTTGTTTCTGCATCATCCAACCAGACCTGTTAGACATGGGGAAGCTTCAAATTCGGGCTTTTCCTTTAGACTGCAAAATGTAAAATCTGTGTCTATGGATGTGCATGCATGTGTATGCATCATGGGGACTGAAGCAGAAAGCCTCATGTGTGACCTACTGTGGGGAACCTGCTTCAGCTGGGAGTTGGTATAGATGATCTCCAGAGGACCCTTCCAACCTCTTACAATTCTGTGATTGTGTTGTTTGGTCCAACTGTTAGCTGAAATGGACACAGGGAGTGATCCATATGATTCAACTCCTTGCAGCTCTGCTGTGGGGATGCTCTGCTGGGTGCTGGAGCAAGGTGGGAGCACAACATATGATCCATGCTCATGTCTGAAGCAAGATATATGGAGGCTGACTTTGCAGTGTAGGTCATTGAGCAGTGGCAACTTTCAAAGGCTGCAAGGTGATGATCTGAGCCCCATTCAGAGCGTGGATTCAGTCCTGTGAGGGTGGGAGAGCACCATGCTGGAGCTTGTTGACCTTATTGGGAATCTCAGTGCACTCAGTATCTCCAAACTGAGTGATAGGTACTCAGCAGTACTGTCGTAGCACATGTTCCTTGGTGCTGCCATCGAGGCTTCTCATGTGCAGCAGTCCTTCTTTAGTGACATTACTAATTGGAGGGGAAAAACAGCATGAGGCTATAACACAATGTAAATGTCAGAATTTGGACATGGTGGACTTATTTCTGCACAGGGAAGAAGGTACTGGAGGGGCATCTGGAGGGACTTTGCATCTGACAGCCCCAAGTTGTGATCTGAAGTAATTCTAGGACAAAGCCATGTCTTAGTTAATCATGTAAGACAGTTCTGAGAGTGGGGGTAGGGGATAGCCTGCTGCTCCTCGTATTGATCAGGAATTAATGTCTAACCTTTAAAAATGCAGTGTAGAAGCTGAGTGAGATTGTGAAACCCTACTTTGTGCTGTCTGCGATCAGTTACCTCCGGGGACCCGCAGAGCTCAGGCTGCTGATTACAGATGCATTTGGAAAAACCTGAATTTTCAATTTTTCACATGAATCTCATAAAGTGAAACTGAGTCCTGCTGGGATTTATGAAAACTGGTTTGCTCTCCACTGCATGCAATACATCTCCTTTGCTAAGTTGGGAGAGCTCCGACAGGAGAGGCACCACAAGAATTATTCCACCCTCAGCAAGTTAATTGCTGCATCGTCAAGTAGTACAGAATCCATCCTGTCCCTTCTGCTTTCTCTCTCTTCTCCCCCCTGTTCCTCTCCAAGAGCTGACGTGTGATGTCTTTTATTTTTTTCTCCTTCTTGCCATCTGTTTCGTGTTTGTGACTTGGGGAGGGTGGGTGTGTGGTAGTGGAGCTTGTGATGGAGTTTGCTGGTGGAGGCATTTCTTTCACTCAGTTAATTAGATTTGTGTTTTCCTTACTCCCAGTTCTAAGGGCCATGCAAATAAGACTAAATTATGCATTAGCTATATACCCCAGTGTTTTAAATGCTCCTGTTGTTGGGGGACACCGACTCTATCCCATATTCCTCCCTTTCATAGAATTCAATTATATTTAAACTATTAACAGGGAAAGTCTAAAAATTCTATTAAAATGTCAGTTTAATAAATCTTCCAAGGTTTAATCTTTCATTTCTGGACCGGGGGAAGGGGAGGATGAATTATGACAATTTTAAGTTTTCCCAGAGCAGCCCCTGCATGTTAAATTGTCTGTAACTCTCAGCATTACAGAACTTGTCTCTATTTGTAAAACAATTTCAAGCAATGGGAGGGTGCCCAGGTTTTGTTGTGAAACATGTGGTGGCTGGGGGAATTTGGACCCGGGCTTTTGGTTTAAGCCATTACAGAGAAACAAGAGAAACAGAGCAATTCACGTCCACTCTGGAGACCATCTCCCATCCCTCTGCTGGCTCTCCAAGATAAGGATATCTGGTTCTATACCTGTGATTGGCACTCAGCATTCATACTACACAGATCATTGTCATCTTTCATTCTCTCTTCCTCCATATGCACCTGTGGAGTACCAAAGTGGGACCCCATTGGGCTGAGAGCTGTGGGAACAGCTTATGTAAGGAATGCTCAGGTTGGATAACAGGGAAAGGCTCTGTGCCAGAAGGCATTGAGCTACCCAGGGCACCACCCTGAGCCGTGGGAACCCAATGAAGGTTTGGACAACACTCCTAGTCATATGGTCTGATTTTTGGATGGTCCTGCATAGGTTGGACTCACTGATCGCTATGGGTTCCTTCTAACTCAATCACAGAGTCATCGTAGAATGGCCTGGGTTGAAAAGGACCACAATGCTCATCCAGTTTCACCCCCCCTGCTATGTGCAGAGTTGCCAACCAGCAGACCAGGCTGCCCAGAGCCACATCCAGCCTGCCCTTGAATGCCTCCAGGGATGGGGCATCCACAACCTCCTTGGGCAACCTGTTCCAGTGCCTGTTCCAGTCACCACCCTCTGTGTGAAAACTTCCTCCTAATAGCTAACCTAAACCTCCCCTGTGTCAGTTTAATACCATTCCCCCTTGTCTTATCACTATCCACCCTCATAAACAGCTGTTCCCCTTCCTCTTTATATGCTCCCTTCAAGGTTAACTTGGGTTATTCTATGACTCTTTCCTTTCCACCTGTGTGCTGTACTTCAGCCCTGACTGAATGCCAAAACCGTGTCTCCTATGTTTTCTTCAGCTCACCCTTGATTTGAAGCTGTTCCAGTGTCTAGCACACAGGAAGCTTTCTACTATCTCCTCTCAGCATTCCTGTGCTTGAAATCAGGACTCATTTATGACCATATAAAGAGATGGCAATGTTTCAGCCCAAACAAAGAAAATCTAGCTCTTGGTCTTGCATCTCTACATCTGTAGCACAGAGGATGCAAGCAAGGTGGGTTTTTGGATACCCAAGACATGAACAGAGCATCCAGGATTGCCCTGTGATGAGGCTGCTCCTTCCAGTTAAAGATTCAAAAGCAGAACAGCAACTTGTGTGGGGTAGGAAGAGGCCTGTCATCTGGTCCAACACCCCTGCTACGAAAATGGACACTTATAGCTCCATCAGGTGCTCAGAGCCTCATCCAAACTGACCTGGAGTGTCTCCAGGGACGGGACACCCACCCCCTCTCTAGGCAACCTGTGCCAATGTCTCGCCACCCTCCTTATATGTCCTCCTTATATCCAGTCTAAATCTCCCTTCTTTTAGTTTGAAATCATTTCCCTGTGTCCTATCACAACAGACCACCTTGCATGAGAGTGTGAGAGGCAGGTCCGGCCTATGAAAACAGGTTGTGATTTTTGCTGGCTGTGCAGGCATTGCTCATGTGCTGAGGGCAGATCCAGGAGTGGGAGCTAAACCACTGAATGTGGGCTCTTCCAAGAATGCACACTGAGAAGCAAAATATGTCCATCTGTGGCATGGACAGAGGCTGCAGTCAATGCATTTGAGAATACTGCATAGGTTTCCCCAACAACTGGGGAGCAACTCTTGGTGGGGAGCCTTGCATTGCTCCCCAAAATGGAAGCGCCTGGCACAGCACACAGAAAGTCCAACTCCTCATCGTGATTCCTTCTTGCAACCACATTTTCAACTTCTCTCTGATGTTTAAGCCCAGGAGAGTGAAATTGCCACATCCCAGCCCCGGGAATAGAGAAAGTCAGTGACTAGCAAGAAGGGTCTAAAAGTTCTCGGTACCTTCTGGAGAGAAAGAGGAGAAAAACAATTTGATCCAATGGCTTGGTCAGCCTGACTGCAGAGATTAGCTGATGTCAGGCTGTAGGGAAAGCGTGTGGGGTGCAGTGCTTTGTTTGGGTGAATAAACCATGCATGTTCATGGAATATTAATTAATAATAAATGAACACGCATGAATTATTCATGCTCACAAAAGCAAATTTGCCTTGAAGGCATAACACAAGACAGGTTTTAAGATTTTTTTTTTCCTTTTTTTCAAACTGGGGGACGGATTTGTATAGAGCATAACCGATTGGTGGTAATTTGCATCCAAACACAGTGTGACTGTCACAGCCCCTGCTCAGCCACTGTATCTCAGCACGCTGCACAGGCGCTCCCACTCCCACTAATGCTATTTTAGTCATTCATTTGTCTTCCAAGTTGCATAGAGGGACCTACTTGCTCTGAATCCCATTTGACTCCAGCAGGCCAAAAGCGCTCCCCTGGGGTAATGCTGCTGCTGTTGCAACAGGGATGGATTTGTCCCCTCACGTTTGTTCTGCTGACAGATTTGTTCCACCAGCGTGTAGTGCAGATGTCTCATACATGATGCAGGATGTCAGGTATGATTTGAAGCAGCGAGCAGACACAGGAAATGCTGCTTCTGTGTTTTAATTCGAAATTGTGCTAAAGATGCCATAAGAACCTCTTGCTCTGCCAGTGTTTGTTCTTCTTGTCAAAAAAAACAAAACCTGTAAAATGAATTTCGATAAAATAATGTCTTTGTGTCTTGATGAAGAGCCACCATGCCATTGGAGGCTGCCCATGACTTTGGGGATATCTTGACTCTGCTTTGAGCTTGTGTTCACCGACCAGAAATGGCTTTCTGCCCATTAGGAGCTGCATGTGGGACAAGTGTCACCCTGCGGCTGTCGTGTTGTTTGCTGGACTCTGTAGTTGCTGACTTGCAGGGACCAGTGGTGTAATGGGCTGAAGCAATGCACAGAAATATGAGCGAGCATCTTGTCAAGTTCCTGGTTCTGCTTCTGGTATTTGAAGTGAAATGCAAAGATGTTCAGGTCATCAAAGATTCTTGGGCTGCCATCATAAAATCATAGAACGGCTTGGGCTGGGAGGGACCTCAAGGATCATCAAGTTCCAACACCCCTGCCACAGGCAGAGCCACCAACCTCCAGATCTGGTATTACACCAGGCTGCCCACCATCCAACCTGCCTTGAGCACCTGCAGGGATGGGGCACCCACAGCTTCTCTAAGCAGCATTGCAAGTGCCTCACCACCTTCTCACTGAAAAATGTCCCCTGACATCTCACCTATCTCCCCTCTTTTAGTTTAAAACCATTCTTCCTTGTCCTATCACTGTCTATCTGTGTAAAATGTTGATTTTCTTCCTGCCTATTAGCTCCCTTTATATATTGGAAGGCCACAATGAGCCCTCCCCTTTATCATCCAGGCTTATGCTGAGATATGTCCCCCATCTATCCACATCATCATATTAGTGCCTATCCAGAATCTCATACTATGCCTTTCCTTAAAGATGTGGGCAAAATGTGGAAGCTGGACCTTGCTTCCTGCATGGTGGGTGCACTGCAGCTCTCTCTGGGTGATAAAACCTGTCCCTAATATTCTTCCCAGCTGTCTGGGTGGTGCATGTTTGTGACACGGTGGCTGAAGTCCTTATTTTGGGTGATCTGCTGGGGAAAGGGCTGCTGACAGCTCCAAAATTGGGTCAGGACCTGTGGAAGAGGAGAACGGTTTGAAGATTTGCTGGGTGCCTCCGGGGGGCTGGCAGGGCAGGAGAAATACGGTGTTTGTCAGCCTCCTGGACATCATTTCATGGGAAAACTTAAAGGAATGTTAAAAATAGAGGTGAGATCCCCAGACACAGCTCAGGTCTGCTATGAATCTGGCCTCAAACCATTAAAATGATCTTAAACTCCTTTTTATTTCTTTTCCTATTTTTCCCCCCAGAAGCCTGCACTGACTTCCTCAGCTAATAAAGATTGGGGCCATAAACTCTGCTGTGTTGTCCCAGCAAGGCCGTTCCTTTTGCTAAGCTTCTTCCTCCTGTCTTCAAGTTCCTGTTACTACAGTTTTAGTTTCTACATTTGCAGCAATCTTTCGTTGCTGAGCTGCTGCAGTTTGATCCCTGCTTTTTATCCTGATTCCATAACAAACATGTTGTAAAGCCTCTGCTGCTGGTCTGCAGACGGTTTTTCCAGGAAAAGTGTTTCATGTATTACAACTTAAAACACGGGTGGATTTATTAGGATTTAATGTATTGGGAGCTAAGCCTTTGGTCTCCCTTTTCATATGGTGGCGGAGGCAGACAGATGGGAGTGATCTGAGTAATTTATATGTTAAGAAGTAATAATCTTTGCAGCCATTTTATCTGCCCAAATGCTTTTACCTTTGATCTTTCTGTTTTCGAGAAACACCTTGTGTTTTTTTTCCATACTTCTTCGCCTGCCAAAGACAAACATCTCTGAAGACTCCTTTGAGCATTTCCCTCAGCTGAGGAGAAGCGATGTCTGATTGTCACTGCCCCATCCAAATGCCTCCACACTTAGCTGCAAAACTTCTTGGTATTTAAGGGCAGAACAGCCAAGGGAAAAATGCTCTCCAGAGCTTGAAAAGTGCATTGTCCTCTCGCAATGGAAATCTGTAGCCCTAGGTCTCGTGGTATTTAGAAGTCAGTAGATTTACTAATTAACGTTGCTCACTCAATTAAAAAGCCCTTGATCTGAGCCCACCAATGGATTTTTGGTATCTGTAAAAATCTTTGCCTTGTGTCTGAAGATTTAGCGATTTCTTTCTTTACTTTCAGACCAAGGCTCAGTGGGAGGAGACACGGGTCAACAAAATGAGCTTTGGTGCTCCACTGCTCTGGCTGCAGAGGCTGTCCTGGGCTGCAGCTGGGAAGGGGCTTAACTGCAATAATTTACTAGGCGAGGTAATTACTGGATTAAGGGTGAGTGTTGTAGCACTGGGGGATGGCACTGACTGAAGATAAGGTTCTGTTAGAAGAAGGCAGTAGGGCCAGAGGAAGAGTGGCAAAGTCATTCATGATGCCTCTTTTTGAAATGTCCCACAGCTTGGGGAATGAGGCAGATGCCAGCTAAGTTTTACTTTATTCTATTTGGGCTATATCCAAGGAAGCTAGGAAGAGAAATATTTTTATTTCACCAGGGTAAAGACTATCAGTACAACACTGCCTCTCTTTCACCTCTTGCTATATATATGTGCTCGCAAGAAGGCTCTTCACAGCCCACTTTGTTTGTGTGTTAATTGTTTTCTCTGTCTGGCACTTTTCATCTGTTGAGTCTATTGTTGTTGTTTTCCAGTGGTAAATTCAAGCTGAGCATCACATGAACTGGTCTTGTTTTTTATGGGAAATTCAAATAAAGTTTTCTCCATAAGAAAAACCCCTGAAGTGACAGACTAGATAAAGACATTTTATCCTAAGAACATAAGCACAGCATGATGCACAGATCTCTTGAGTTGACAGAAGCCCAGCTCTCTGTAGCATTAAGGCTTATTTCAGGGACTTCCTTAAGAAATTTAGGCCCATATATGCCCTCCATTTAGAAATCTCTTTTTCTCTTGCAAGGTTCACTATCTTGCTGAAGTCATGAGCCATAATAAAATCTCTGATCATGCTCCTTTTTTTAGAAATGCTTCCATCATCATTTGTAGTACATTCCTTCATACTTTGCAGCATGGACATCCATTGCACCCACCATGCAGACACAGCAACTGTATGCATGAAGGTATGCAATGCCAATGCTTCCCATGTACCTCTACAGCCTTCAGAACTCACGGTGATGAAATTATTCCCATGGTGTTTATCATAGAATCATGGAATCATTAAGATTGGAAAGCACCACTAAGATCATCAAGTCCAACCACCAACTCATCATCCTCATGCCCTCTACACCCCCGTGCCCTTCATTTCCTCTGAAGCCTCCAGCTTGGAGCACTGAGAGTGGCTGGGAAGAAGGGCATTTCTGCTTTGCCTTTGTCTGCATCTGAGATCTGTAGGCATAAACACGATCTGTGCTCCTTCACACACAGCACTCCTAGATAATGGGAAAAATAAGTGGAACCACGAGTTAGTCACCCTCATACCTTCTAAACTCCTGTGCCCATTATTTTTTCTGAAGTCTTTGCCCATAGCAAGGAGTTTGGAGCTAGATGATCTTTGAGGTTCTTTACAACTCAAGCCATTCTGTGATTCTATGATTTACCAAGCAGTGTCATTGCAGAGCTTATCTGCCATGTACATGGAACTGCCCAACGTTGAGGTGGGAAGGAGATAGAGGTGAAATCCATCAGGAGCAGAGTGGCTGGAAGGAAAGGCAAAGCTCTGAAATCTCAGTTCTAAAACCGAAGTGAAAGGGTAGGCGAGGTGTGAGCAGCCCATGCCTCCACAACACGTCTCCCACCTGGTTTCCCCCTCAGTGGCTGAGCTCTGAAAACCTCTTGGGAAAACCATCAGCCCTGGGAGGCTGCGTGGGTTTAAAGTCGAGAAATGCAGTTCAGAGATGATTCTCTTTTGCTTGCCATGCAGTTGTCTTTTTTTTTCTATGCTTCTCGATTGGAGCGGATGTGACTCGTCTCATCAAATTGGCATCCGCAGGGTAGATGCTGATTTCAGCAGCAGTCACCCAGGGCTCCCGAACGGACTGCAGGGATTGAGCCAAGGCAGCTGAAGGAGTCCAGGGCATGATTCATCTCTGCTTCCACTCCACGTCTAAAATAGGTCTGGAAAGTTCAGCTCAGAAAGTGCCGATTTTTCTCTGCTGGCTGTGAAAGATGCTGACGGTGGTCAGCTCAGCTGTAGTCCCCGTTGTGGACATCCATGTCATCAGGTGGATCCTATCCAAATGGTTCCTGGATGGGTTTTTGAGCAGTGCTCAGCACATGGGGCATGTCTTTGGTTGCTGCAGATGTGCCTTTAGTGTAAATAATACCAACATGCTCGAGGACACATATTCTCCCTTATTATTCCACCTCCATGTACATACACTTACGTCTACCACAGGTTGATCCATATTTGCTAATATAAGAAGACTAAGGGTAGGGGGGCCGGGTGGGTGAGCGTGCAGTGCTTGATATGAATAGGGTGAGATAGGCTGATATCATCAGACAACAGCATTTCTGCATCCTGATTGATTGAGGTGCTCTGTTTCCACATTAACTTGCAATAAAGTGCTCTCTCATGCCGATACGCATTCATCATGTGCAATTGTGGAGACTGTTTATAACTTAATTTACTCCGAGGTAATGATGATTATATCTAAATATTTATGGAGAGGTCAGTGCAAGTAAATTTCTCAGTAATTCTGTTTTGCTTTTCTTTTCTTTCTCTTTTCTTCAGCCAGCCAAATTATCTCAATGCTCCCTACAGACCTTCTGCTAATTCCTTTGTTTGCAGTGACAGTTAGTGGAAAAAGAAGGCTGATTAACTGCAGGCTGCCTCTGTGCCGAGCCAGCCAAGTCTAACCAGAGGTGTATGGCTCGTCTCTCCCTTTTAATTTTGAACTGCAGGAAAGTCATGGGCCAGAGCTGTCTATTAGAATATATCTAAATCATGCATGTGTTTGTGTGTGCTAGCAGCACAAGCTTCACACCAGTGCTTTCACAATTGATGCTCTCTGCAGTTGTGAAAGTGGGCAGCACTACGATGGGAGCACTGGTTGTTCTTCCTCTGCCGATGATTTTTTCAGTTCAGACCATAACTGATCATCTTTGAGGTGGATTATATACACCTTAGAGTGCCGGTTAATTTCGGAGTGTGGGCATTTCCCCATTTCTTCTATTTGCTCTTTGTGCTTTTTATCTCATAAGACACACAGCACCACGGAGGTTCCATCGCTTCTGATGGGATTTAGCCCTGTGGAGCTGTGGTTTGTAGGCATCTCACAGCCTCTCTGCTGATATGAGGGCTAGATGAGCTGGAATTCATCTCCCAGAAATTCCTGGAGGCAACATGGAAAATGGACCACTGTGTTATCTCAGAGAGAATAGGAATTCCACGATATTGATATGAAAGAGCTGAGAGGATGTTTCATTTTGATATCCTACAAGAAACATCTGTTGAGCACCATGCTTCTTGGCTCTCCTCACCCCAAACACAGAGCTCCAATACATCACCACCTTCTTTTCCTTCTCCTCTGTTGGCCATGTTCATTGTCTTTGTGTAGCTCTGAGTGCTGTGCTTGGTGCAGAACTGGTTGCTATTCGTATGCTCCCACCCATCAGTGCTCCATGTGACTTTTAAGACCTCCCCTCACCCTACCTTAACTGCTCCTTGTCTTTGCCTTTGACTTGTTGGTATCCTTCACACACGCTCCACAGTTTCTTCTGCTTTTACCTTTTCTCAGTTGTATTTTCCCTGGAGGAGCAGTAGAAGCCCAGCCACCATGCATTCCCTGTGCTACACCATGCCAAAGGGATACCAAAACTCAGTGACTGGAGCCAAATGTTTGTTCCATGTATCTGTGCATCAGTGATTTGGGGTGAGTATGCATTTTTTGGTGCTCCTCAAAACATTGGATTGTCCAGCTTCAGCTGCCTGGGTTCAGGTGGAAAATGGACCGGTGCCATCCTGCAGCTCAGCCTTCATGGTGCTGAGGAAGGCAATTGTGTAAATCTACTGTAAGCCTGAATCAAACGCTGCAAGAGGGAAGAGATATTGAAGTATATTGAACCACAGAGGAAAAAAGTCTAAGTGCAATCTGCTCCATTAAAAATTTCATAGGCCGTTACTTTTACAATGCAATTAGCTTTGCAATTTCGATGCTATTGGAAGACCAGCACAGTGGATAATCAGCAGCAGAAATGCCTGTGAAGGTACATTTGCAGAAAACCTTCAGGTTTTAGCTATCTTTCACATGGCATGTTCCTGACTGCACTCACGTGTCGATGACTGTTGTTCAGGTTGGACATGAAGGAAAATTTATTCTCCATAAGAGGGGTGATGCAGTGGCACAGCTGCCCAGGTGGTCACCGTCCCCTGGAGATGCTCCAGAGCTGTGGAGATGTGGCACTGAGGGACGTGGTCAGTGGGCATGGTGGGGTGGGTTGATGATTGGACTTGGTGATTTGAGTAGGCTTTTCCATCCTTAATGTTTCTATGATGCTGTTGTTCTTTCCTCCTTCACTCGTGTCCATTTCTGCAGTTTTAGCAAGCAATCTCTGGCCCCATGCAGCTGCTCAGGGTCTGCCAGCAGCGGGGGCTTTGTCAGCAGTTTCCCACATCTGATGCTATAGCTTTGGAGGAGTTAATGCTGACATGTAAAGCAGTGAGAGGGCTTTTCATGTGAATTCTGATGAAAAGAAAAGGATCCCAAGAGCCACATAAACATCTTTCCATGGCTGAATGCTTCATACACAGTTTATGTTTTGTTTTTAATAGAAAGAGCAAAGTGATTTTTTAAATTTATTTTGCTTACTGCAAGACTTAGGGAAAAGTTCCCATTTCTTTGAGGAAGGGCCTTGTTGACTGCGGCAAGCATTGGCTGCCACACATCACAACTACATTGAGGTGCTCCTGGGCAGAGAAATGTTTTGGCTTTATTTTTATCACAACACATTGCATTTTATTGTGAGGACTCTCAGCCCTGCTGAAGCAGCAGAAGGGCTTTAGCACCAAGTTTATGAGACTGGTGAGATGCAGACCTCAAACCTAAAAGCAGCATCTCCATGCAGGAATCTTCGTGAGCTCTACTGTGACAACACATCTCTGTATGTCCCAATGCCCAGACCTGGCAAACTTTGGTGGAAATTCATGGTGTGCATGGGGATAACTTTGCCCAACACAAGCTGTGGACAAATAGAATCAAAGAATCATTAAGATTGGAAAGGACCACTAAGATCATCTAGTCCAACCATTAGCCACATGGTGTGGATCAGGAGCTTGTTTAACTGACAGCAAGTCTCATAAAAGCCTGTGTTACTTCCCCCACCCTGAACCCCAGCTCTGCAGCATGCAATCACACACGAATCACTGATGAGATCTTATTCCTTCTGGCTGAATAAGATAAATTTCCTTAAAAGCCCAGACCCTGACATTTCAGAGAACCGCAGCTGAACACAAAGAATGCGTATTGTTTCTAAATAGATGCATGAATAACAAGGAAAAAAAAAAAAAAAGTCTTATATTTTTTAGCCAATCTCACAATTTCAAAAACTGACTCATGGTTTTTCTCATGCTTCATGGTGACATTGCCAAGCTTCTGTTGTCAGACTGCTGAAAAGCTTGTTCACTTTCATCCAAATACCAAAAAAATGAGCAAAATCAGATCAGTTTCCTTGTCTCCGAAATTTGGACAGAGGTTGCATCTTTTTTTACAATGCTGTGCCTTAGAAGAAGGAACAGGGGCAGGAAACTGAGCTTCAACACCCAGAGGTCTTCTGTTATCCCTCTTCCAGTCCGTCTCCTCACAACCTTTGCCTTATAAAAAAATATAAAATCATAATTCGACACAATCCATTTCTGAGTGTGAAACAGCATTGTAACATAGGCTACCATGAGGCTTTTGGGTTCTAACGTGCACAACATAGCAATTGTTCTGGAATGATTCCCACCTGAGAAGAGGTGCCTCCACTCCTGAGGTGTTCTGTTCCCCTCCACACAGGTGTAGCTGAGCTCCCTGAGCACAGAGGATCCTGCTAGCAGAGACTAAGGGTAAATCAGGGATTTTTGTTGTCACTACCTCTGCAGGCAGCCTGGTGCTGCTGTGAGCAGGGTGTGCAGTGCATGCACACTGCTGCTGGAAACCATCTCGCTAGGCTATCAGGCCAATTGTTGGACAACCAGATTTTCCTGGTGGGAAATCAGTTGCCAACAGGTAGCAGGTGGTATTTTCTTCCCTTTTCTCTAGAGTAAAAGGCTTTGGGAATGGGAAGTGAATACCTTCAGCATTCCTCTCCTGCAGCTCTTTCTAATGGGCAGCAGTATGGAGTTGGCACCAGCAAAGCCATTTATTTGGAAAAAGAGAGAAGAAGTGAACTAAGAAAATAGTGTCTCTAATAGTTCAAGACCAGAGGCAGAACATCCACAATTTACAGATACTATGGCCACTGCAAATACAGCCTGGATTGGGCCTCAGAAAATGAGGAGGTTCTATTTTCTGTTGAAGGCACCAAAGCATCTCCCTTTAATGTCAGCAGGAGCAGTACATACCTAGAGAGCAGCTCATGCAGACGGAGTGCCACTCAGGAGGTGCAGCTCACTCATCAAACTGCAGAGGGCACAGGACATGTTTTGCAGTGGGCTTTGGCTGCTGTGGGCAGAAGTGCACACGTAGGATATGGAGGCATCAGACTCTGCTGATGATCACCCGCTGCTCTTCCAGGGCTGGCATGAGATGATGGGCCTTGTGGGTGGTGTGAGGGGGAAGAAAATATGCTCAGAGACTGAGGTCCCTGGGGGATGCTTGATCCTATGCACCCATTTATCCACAGGAGCTTGTGTGCACAAAGGCTTTCTGTCTTCCCTGGAGATTAGCGATACTTGCTGCTTTCCCCAGCATATAATATTGGTTTGACAACTGTAGCTAACTCGTGGTTCCACTTATTTTTCCCATTATCTAGGAGTGCTGTGTGTGAAGGAGCACAGATCGTGTTTATGCCTACAGATCTCAGATGCAGACAAAGGCAAAGCAGAAATGTCCTTCTTCCCAGCCACTCTCAGTGCTCCAAGCTGGAGGCTTCAGAGGAAATGAAGGGCACGGGGGTGTAGAGGGCATGAGGGTGATGAGTTGTTGGTTGGACTTGATGATCTTAGTGGTGTTTTCCAATCTTAATGATTCCATGATTCTATGATAAACACCATGGGAATAATTTCATCGCCGTGAGTTCTGAAGGCTGTAGAGGTGCATGGGAAGCATTGGCCTTGCATACCTTCATGCATACAGTTGCTGTGTCTGCATGGTGGGTGTGTGGTTGCAATGCGCTTGCATCAGCCTGCATGCACCCAGCACGTGAATCAAAGAACCACAGAATCATGAAGGTTGGAAAAGTCCACTGAGATCCCCAAGTCCAACTGTCAACCAATCCTCACCGTGCCCACAAACTGTGTTCCTCAGTGCCACATCTCCATAGTGTGTGAACACCTCCACGGATGGTGATTCCACCACCTCCCTGGGCAGCTGTGCCAATGCATCGCCTCTCTTTCTGAGAAGGAATGTCTCCTAATATCTCACCTGAATGGCTATTCCTGCCCATTGACACAAAGCGGATCCAAGATGTGGCTGTGATATGGGCAAGGACAGTGCCCTGGATGGAGCTTTAGCACACTTACCATTTTCATTTTTTATTGACACTTTGAATCGCAAAGGGTCTGATTTATAGGAGGATATGCAGAGATTTCAGAAGGCATTGGTCAGGGAATCTGTGTTCTGGATGTGGCCTCAGACGTAGAATCATAGAGTCATAGAATGTCTTGAGTTGGAAGGGACATCAAAGATCATCTATTTCCAAGCTTCTGCTATGGGTTGGGCTGCCTCCCACCAGCTCAGTCTGCTCAGGGCCCCATCTAACCTGGCTTTGAGCACTTCCAGAGATGGGGCATCCACAGCTCTCACAGAAGACTGTGTCAGCACCTCACCACTCTAAGTAATGAATTTCCTCCTAATGTCTAAAGTAAATCTCCCCTCTTTTAGTATAAAACTGTTCCCTCTTGTCCCGTCACTGTCAGACTGCATAAAAAGTCAGTCCCTCTTCTGTTCATAAGCTCCCTTCTGTACTGGCAAGCTGCAGTCAGGTCTCCCAACAACCTTCTCTTCTCCGGGCTGAACAACTCCAGCTCCCTCAGCCTGTCTTCACAGGAGATGTTCTCCATACTCTGGACCCATTCCAAAAGTTCCACTAAAATTCCACATGTGCCAGCTGTGGTCCTGACTGTCCATAAACCTTATTTCTCAGGCCACGTGCAGATTTCCAGCAACTGCTGGATGCCACCAAAGTGCAACATTCTGGCAGGGCAATGACGGAGACACAGCTGGGGTTGCAGCATGGGGGGGGAACAGAGCAGCCCCATGTCACGGTGGAGAGCCGTGCTGCTGCACTGGGCTCTTGAGGGATGGGATGGGTGACTCAAAAAAACCCATCCAACCCCCAACATGGTGCCAGCAGCACTGTGACCATCAGCTGGGCCCCGTCCTTTGTGACCACCCCTCTCTCTCCTTCCTCCCCATCCTTCCCAGCCCCCTTCCTGACGGGGTTAATTTTATTTTTTTCCTCCAGGGGTTTGCAGCGCTGGCTGAAACGCGCAGGCCAGCTGCCTGCCGGTGGCAGCAGGAAAACAGGCAGACAAAGCAGATGGACCCAGCAGGGGTGGAGGAGCGCTGTCTTCAGCGGGCCATAGGCATCACTGAAGAGTAAACAGCTCTCCGAAGGGAGCCGGGAGCTAACCCCAAACCCATCCTCTCCAAAGCACTCAATCACAGCACATTAACAAGAGCGCCTGGACTGCTGGGGGAGAGTAAACAATGAGAGGCCTTGCTGGCGGGAGAGTGGGAAAAGCGCAGCCCCCCTCCAGCTCATATTTATTGTAAGAGGGTGTAAAAAGTGGCTCGTGGCTCAGCATGCTGTCAGCGAGCCGCGCTCGTTGTCAGTGCTCATCTTGTAGGAAAGCCGCCCTTTGCCTTCGTGGGTTGAGTGGGTGCCTGCGCGCTGCTGGACACGCAGGGATGCTCAGCGAGGCCAGGAGGCAGCAGCAGAAGTGAGAGGCGAAACCTTCCCTCCCACAGGCGAATGTGCTTCGATGCTTGCCCTAAACCAGGCAGGGGTAGCATCGGGGCTACCGCTCCTTCCAACCACAGCCACTCAAGTGAGCCGCCTGTTTGGATGAGGGAAGCGTGTTGGGGACCCAGCGCTACTGTCCAGAGCAGGAGGGGGAGATCTCCTCCTGTCCATACCAGTGTGACTTCCTTGGTTTGAGAGCGGCTTCTGATTTATGCCCAGGGGCTGGAGCCCGCTCACCGGGCGCTGCTCTTTCATCTGCAACGTTGCAGAGAAATTTGTTTACAGAGCTCTTGGCGCGCTCACAGATTCTTTCTCCCCTTCCCCCTTTTCCTCCAAATCAGCTACAGTTTTCCCTCTCCCTTGGCTCCCGCTGCAAAACCGATTGACCTTTCTGGGCTGTGTCTGACACATGAACCGTGCAAAATCCTTTCTTCTCCCCGAGCCCTGTGCTTGCTTGGGAACGTGGCTGCCTGGAGGAGTGCAAACAGGAGCCCTCCAGCAGCCCTTTGCTGCATTTCTGAGGGCTGCTTTGCTTGTAATGCTGCGCATCCTTGAGAGTGGGTGGCTGTGTGTGCTGTGGCTGAGCTCCCCAGTGCTCTTTGCAAACACTGATGATAGGATGAGGAGGAATGTCCTCAAGTTGTGCCTGGGGATGTTCAGATTGGATACTAAGAAAAACTTTGTTCCAAAAGAGTGGTGCTGCAGTGGCACAGGCTGCCCAGGGAGGTGGTGGGGTCACCGTCCCTGGAGGTGTTCCAGAACCATGGAGATGTGGCACTGAGGGATATGATCAGCATTGTGGGATGGGTTGATGGTTGGACTTTTTCACCCTTAATTATTCTATGATTTCTATGATTCTATGCCACTGTTGTGTTCCAGCGCTACTGAATTTCAGCCAAAGTCTGAAAATTTCTGATCCAGTTGTTCCCTGCTCCCAGTGGGATGTATCCACATGGAAATAGCAAAAGGACATTTTTTTTTCTCATCAGGAACACTCAGCAGAGCACTTGTAGGGTGCAGAGAGCTGATCTTACTAGCTTTGTGGTAGTAGCTTTGTGATTTAACCTGGAAAAAGAGTTGTCTGTGCTTGGCCCATTGAGCCACAGAAGAGATAACAAAAGCCACCAATTTGTCATAAATATAGAATATAGTTCTTTTTTTTTTTTTTTTTTTAAATTAAATCTAGTGGTTGGCCAACCTGCCCACGGGGATTGAAATTAGATGATTTTTTTTAAGGACCCCTCCAACCCAGGTCATTCTGTGATTCTCTGATTCTCTGACTGATACTTTCTACCTCTCTTGAGGGTAAAGAAGCATGGTGGAAGGGACAAGTGGTCTGGTGGCCTGGCTGAGATAATCTCTGCAGCCATTTCCAAAGGCTTACATCAGTCTGCTGTGAAACCAAAGCACTCTTTAATCCTTCCTGAGCACATGTTGAACCTGGGCCGTTGGGCCACATATTGACTCAGGTTCAGCTTTGTTGTGTTGCTCATCTGTGCTGCAAGAGAGGGGTTCAGAAGCAGCTTTCCATTGGCAGCAGGTGGAAATTGAGCTGTTCTTCAATCGTGCCAGTGACTGCTAAAGCTGACCTTATCCTGTCTGTCTTGTATTTTAAAAGCTGGAGTTTGAGGCAGGTGAAAACATACAGGTGTTTTCTTCTTCTTGTCTAAAGTAGCTGTGTTATATGCCTTGGTGAAACCTGAGCTTAATTCACCTTGGCCATAACATATCAGAGGAAATATCAACAGTATAAATCATAGCAAACACGAGGATGGAGCTCTGAGAAAGTGCCAAAGTGGCCAAGAATACATTAATAATGAAGGCTGCTCTGGCTCAGTTGCAAGACAAAAAGGTCCCATCTGTACAAAAAGGCATCAAATTGCCCCAGAAAAGAAAACCATGCAAGCTGAGCCTTCTCTGAAACTCAAAGCACAGGGATCCTCTGGGGAACCCAACCCTGTCTGGGTGGTACTCAGCAAGGGGAGCTCTCCTGGACCAGGCCATACCCTCGACCCATTCCCACACTCGCGAATGTCAGCAGAAGATTTTCACGAGATTCAGGGAGAGCAGTGATGTAACTCAACGATGGGATCTCCCCCCTTTCTCTGGAAAAAAATAAGTCTTCAAATTGAGTAAAATATAAAAGCGCTTTCTTAGCTTAGGCCTCCTACAAGTGAATTCCTCTGGTGCCAGTGATGGGCTCCTATTCTCCCTGGGAAATACATCAATTTGATTTTCTCCCTCAAAGGATTCGTCACTGAAAGACAACACCACCCTCTTCCACCCAGCTTTTCAGTTGCCTCCAGGTGCTTGGGGAATACCAGTGAAAGGAGCCGCTCCTTGCTTCTTTTCCTTCCCCTTTTATTTCTCATGATTGCTTCCTCTCTGATCTTTTTTTTTTTTCCCCTTGAAAGAACACCTTCCTTCCCACCGACTGCACTGCCTGCTGTGGCTCAGCATGTCCCAACATCCGTCCTGGCAGCCGTCCCTCCCTTCCAATCTGATTCCTCTATATTTTCATTATTTGTTGAATAAAATTACTGATAGCAGCAACAGAGCCCAAGTGCATAGACCATGCTGCAGGGTGGATGCAGAACTGCACTCTTGATGTAACTGTAGAATAATTCCACATCTGCAGCAGAGAGTGGCAGAGCCCCTGTCACTGTTTCTATGGGACTGCTGGTGATGGGCAGCTCTCCTTGTGGTGTGATGAATATTCAGCAGCCCCCCATCTCCCCTGGACACTGAAAGAGTTCACTCAGGTGGCTGACAAGAAATGTGGTGGACTCCAAGCATGCCCTGATGTTTTCATCCCTGATGTTCCCCTTCTGTCTCCCCTAGGGTTTAACCTCTGTGACACCAGTTTTTCTCCCGTGACCAAATACATGCTCCTGAATTTGGGGAGGATGCATGTGTTTATCAGAGTTGTGTGAAATGCTCTACTTCTTCCTTGCAGGAGGACAGAAGAGGAAATGGTTTGTTTTGAAGATGTGCCATGATAGGCAATTCATGCTTGCTTATGTTTTCACACATGCCAGCTTGGATAACTTGGGTGGAAAACTGAAGTGAAGCAAAGTCCTCAGCCTCTCATAGCTTTGGCAGCAGTCACCAGTGGCCTCCTAGAGCTGAGCTGTTGGAGAGCATCTTGACCCCAACCCAAGGGCTGGAGGTGACTGCTACACTGCTGTTTTAGGGATCTTGAGTACTCTAAGTGTTTTATTTCCTAAAGCAAACAAAAATGCTGCTCCCATCTGCCCTTCAGAGGCACTTAGGAGGCATCCGAGTAAGCTCTTAGTTTTGGGAATGAGTTTGCCTTCTTCCCTGAGATATGATAGCCTGCAACTCAGGAGGAGTTCATGGAGCATGCCATATTCCTGACTGCCCAGGAGCGTTCTATCAGCCCATTGCAGGCCTGATACTGGATTAAGGACAAAAGCTTTCCAGCCAGCAGTAGGGATGCATGAAGTTTCGTCTGTGAAAGACCACAGAACACTTTGGGGTTGTTGGAAGATGGGTTTTGTATGCAGCACATCCCGCATTTCAATGCTGCTTTCCAGAGCTGTTTGCTAGCAAATTGCCAGGATTTGAAATTCAGGTAGGTTGCAGGATGAAAAAATACCCTTCCCACATTGCTATGACCTTTTTGGTGGTTTATTTGTTAAAGGCATTACTGTTCCCCTCGGGAATGGTGCCTTCCTCTGTTTTATGCTCTAAGGATGTGGCTCTTTTCATGTTTATCTTTGATTCAAGCATTGTAAAGAGCAATCCCTCGCACTTACGTGCTTCATTGTATTCTGGCCATGAGAGATTCTCCCCCACTGTTTGTAGCCTTTTTTCAGTGCAGCTAGTAAAATATTTGAACAGGAAAAAAAAAAAAAAAAAAAAGAAAGAAAAAAGAAGAAAGAAAAAAAAAGAAAGAAAAAGAGACACTAAACAGCTTCCAGCATTTAGAGGATAAAATGAGATGTAAGGAAAAGGACGACTGTGGTTAATGCACAGGGCTGGGAGGCCTCAGATGGACCATGGCCTCTCTTCGTTTCTCTTCTGACTTCTTCTGTGACTTTGTCTAAGTCATTTGACCTCCTCCTGCTGTAGCTCTGGGGTGTTAAACACACACTATGTTTTCTGCTGAGAAAACCCAAGCTTGCTGTCCCCAGAGAGCAGAGCTCAGCACTGCCCATCCGCTCCCGATGAGGAACTGTATGGCCGTGAGCCCTCATCATCCTCTGCTCTGTGCCCAACAAACCCAGGGCTGTCAGCTACCGCTCAGACTCCTTGCCCTCCCCTGTGGATGCATATCAGCACGTGATACAGCCTGGTTTTGCTTCCCTAATTTTGGATGACACATGGAAGCTGATTTGCACAGGGTGAATGCAAACCAATGGCTCATCCACTGAAAAATAATTAAATTTCAATGGGTTACAGCAGGCAAGCTGGAATCCAAGGATCCTAAGGTTGGTTATGTTGGGGTGCTTAAGGGGAAACCTCCAGTGGGCAAGGATCTGTTGTAGTCCAGATAAGCCCTCACAATTCAGAGTTTTCTTAAATTTCTGGGGCGTAATGGCACAGCTGGCGACAGAGCGCCAAGTGAATATTTGACATAAATAAACCAATGTTCCTATGTGGGAGAAGGGCAGAGGGAGCCTGTGAATTAATGATCAGCTTTTAATTTGTCCTTTCATTGGAATCAATGAAAATGTCAGGATGATTGAGGTTTATGTGCTCATGGGAAAGATGTGAGCCCGAGAGTAAGAGATCAAGGCTATTTTTTAATATATTTGTTTCACCGAGGAAGATGCTTCCCTTCATCTCTGATACCAGAGAAGGATTTGCTATGGGTGAATTCCTGAGAAAGCCTGGGCAGTGTGTATTGGAACAGGATGCCCAGGGAGGTGGTGGAGTCACTGTCCCTAGAGATGCTCAAGAACTGTGGAGATGTGGCATAGGGAGGGACGTGGTCAGTGGAAGTGGTGGGATGGGTTGACAGTTGGACTAGAAGAACTTAAAGGTCTTTTCCAACCTTTCTGATTCTATGATTCTGTAATTCATTCAAGTCTCAGCAGAAACCTGCCACCCTCAAGCTGTGGGCTGCTGGCTATCCTTGGGCACTGGTTCAGCCTACCTGGTGCTGGTTTTTCTGGCTGCAGGCATATCCTGTTTGCTCACCCCAGTGTCAGATCTGCTGTGGGAGGCACAGGGCTGGGTGCAATTCCTTGTTGAAAAGGGCAGATCCTGCTGATGGATGTGAAAAACTGGCACTTATGTCCTGGAGGCAGAACTGGCTTTGGATCATGACTGCTGGAAATACTGCTGTTTGATCACCTGAAATGGGCACCTCCATCCTTTTTTTCAGCCAAAACAGGGGTTTCTGCATCAGAGCTTGTCACAGAGCTATTAGTTAAGTAGTCAAGTGAGTGGGCATGGGTTCAGCTTCCTATAAGTAGCAGGGGGAACCTGCAGGGTGAACAGTGGCCTGGAGTGGTGGATTCATTTGCACGTTTCCTCTGTCTTGATGGAGGCTTCATGCAGCCCCTTGGCACAGAGGAAGTGTCTGCAAACTGCCAGGCACGCTTTGGCCTAATTAAATATTCATGGTGACAAAATGTCACAAGCACAGGGGAGTTTTCAGCAACTGCTTCACCCCCGCTAGCAGACACCCTGCTCACTGCAGCAGGGCTCCTGTGATGCATTCCCACCCTTCCTCTGCACTCACCTGCTCACCTTGCTCTGCAGCAAAACCAGGGCAAGGATGAGCTGGGCTTTTGCATCTCACATCTGCTTTGTCTCAGGGCACCAGTCCCCCAGATACGTTTATTTTGTCTTTGAGGGACCTGATATTGCAGCCAGTGCTCTGCTCTGTGGGTTCTGGAGTTGAGTTGAGGTCTTCTGCAGGTGGATCACAGCCAGCCTGTGACCTGCAGCTCCTTTCTTCTGCAAGTTGGCTCAGGATGGCTTTTTGTTCCAGAAATGTTGTCACTCCTGACACTTCCGGACATGAGCAACGCAACCGCGTTCCTGCCAACAAACACAGCCCTCACCAAGGGCTTCTGTGATAACATCAGCTCCTCTGCTGCTGCTTTGTTTTCAGCCTTCTCATGGAACTGACCTCATAGTTTCCTAATTTAGAGCTGGTGGCACAGAGTGTGGGGAACGTGCATGCTCAACACCTGTGGTGACAAGGCCAGCAGGACACCTTCCAGCAACCTGCCCTGAACCAAAGCTGTGTTCCAGTGGCTGCTGAGCTTCCGCAGTGGCCCCAGCAGGCACGGGTTTAACCCAAATAAGGATCAATTATCACACCAACCTAGAAATAGAAGGGAAGAAGTGAGAGTTGGGGTCCTGGTTTTCACCTACATTTCTCATTTAAAACATTTCTCTTTTGAAATGATATGCTTTTCTTGCAGAAGGTGGAAAGCTGGATTTCCAGCTGATCCATCAAGTCAGCCTAATGCCCATCCTATAATCTCACTGCTCCTTTCTGCTTTAGGGTACATGCTAAAAGCCTTACTGTTCTGGAATAGTTTACTCGGAGTGGCAGTGTCCCACTTCATCTCCCCACAACCCTCCCAGCCATGGGATCTACATCCTCCCCAAGCTGCTTGAGCTGTTTAGCTCCTTGTTGCTACTGCTCTTGCTGCTCTTGTTATTGAGATGCCCAACCCAGTGTTAAACATGTAGCTTGTAGAGCTGTACCTGTGCAGTGAATGGCATGGATGAGTTACAGAATCATAGAATGGCTTGGATTGGAAGTGACCTCCAAGATCATCCATTTCCAGCCTCCTGCCATGGGCAGGGTTGCCAGCCACTAGACAGTGCTTCATGTAAAACCCTAGGCAACAGAAATACTCCAGAGAGCTGATTTTTACTGGCTTTAACTTCCCAGCTGGTTATTTAGCCGTCTTCACCAGAAAGTTGTCTCAGTGAAATGAGAACTCGCCCACATTCAGGATAAACTCACGGTTCTTCTGCTTTTTTTTTTTAGTTTTGGAAAATGTCGCGCTGTCTGTGGTGGTGGATGTGTGTGTGTGTGTTTTATTTTCTGTGTGTGGCATCCCTGCATATGTCTTGGATTGCTTCAGAAGCCGTAATAGCGAAACAAGCTTTTCTGTATTCAAAAATAGAAATGGGATGATCAAACAACTCAGACTAGAGCTATGTGCAATGCTTTGTTTTTTATCCAGTTATTTAGTAGTTATCAGTAACAATAACTATTATTACGATGACACCTTATGCTCTGGCTTTCCTCATCATTCCTTAGAGTTTCCATATTTGCAAAACATTGTGAAAGCCCATTGCTGTTTGTTTTCTGCCCAATGAGGATGTTGTGAATTCTGCTGCAATCTGCCTGGAGGTTTTTGGAAGCCAAAGACAGCAGTTTGTGCAGTGCACTGGAAGGCCACATCCCCACACAGCTCTGGTATGGGGGATGCTGCAGTGAGGCACAGAGTTTGCTCTTACGCTGCCTCAGTGGAGATGTGCATTTTGTTCATGCTCAATTACTGGGGAGTGTCCATATGTCCTTTAGGTGAATATCATAGGAATGCTCTGAATTTTGGGTGACGAGAGCTAGTGCTTGCACATACAGCATAGTGGGACTGGTTGGCTTGAGCCAAGGGGAGTCTGAGACCTAAGGGATAGCAGTTGGTAGCAGAGTGACACACTGGAACAGGTTACCCAAGGAGGTTGTGGATGCCCCATCCCTGCAGGCATTCAAGGCCAGGCTGGATGTGGCTCTGGGCAGCCTGGTCTGCTGGTTGGTGACCCTGCACACAGCAGAGGGGTTGGAATTGGATGAGCATTATGCTCCTTTTCAACCCAGACCATTCTATGATTCTATGAAGTCCTGCAGGAAAGAAAGCAATCTGCATAAACCCATCTCCTTTTGTGAATTTAGGGTAGAAATCATTCTAGGCAACTGGTTCTGTTGCAATTGCACTGATATTTGAGTTGAGAAAGAGGAAAAAAAAAAAACAGCTAACTAAAAGTTGTCAGGCTCTGTATTCTTGGATGGAGCTTTGCTGATCTTTCATGTGGATTTCCCCCCTTCCCCTGAATTTGGCACAGTTAGTACAACAGAAGCAAAGATGATACATATGTTTTGTAACAGTAGTGCGCATAGTGAGTTTAAAGTCAGTTTATCAATGTCTCTCCTCCTTTCCCTCTATTTCTGTATTTTCTGTAGTTCTCCTTACAAATTCTGCAGCCTCAGCTGACGAACTTGATGTCATTTTGTTGAGGGAACAGCAATGACATTTTCTTTGGACAGGAGAGACACTCTTGCATTTCTGGTGACCAGGAGAAAATGACAGTCAGATAGTTTCTCTCCTTCACATCACTTCTCAAACCCTGGCCGTGCCCAGAAGAGCATTCATTTAGAAGAAAATTCACTTTAGGAGGGGAATTGCCACAGCTAAGCCTTATTACGAGGAGCTGAATGCATGGCACACTTGGATATAATGGAGACCACATGAGAAGAACAATAGCTTCTGCTCCCCTATAGGTGTTGGCCACTGCAGTGGATGTACCATGGGTCACGATAGCTGTGTGCATTCACATTTTCAAGCATCCAATACCAAAAAGGTTCATAGTGCCCTGTATTTCTATAGTGAACAAGGTCATGCAGTTCACAGGCAGAAAGTTCAATGCTGCAGAGGGGGGGAAGGCAGTCGTATGCATAGGTCTTGCTTTAGCATCTTAAAAGTGAATGCCATCCCCATGAATACAATGTCTGTTCATGAAGTATAAATCCAAGAGTGGACCACCTTGGCTTGGCACACTGGAAACTTCTGGGATGGCATTGAAAAGGATACAGCACTGGTTTTGGTTGTTGGCTGTTGCTTGCTCAGTGTTTTCTACTGAATTTCATGAAGCTGAGCTGAGTTACATCTACCAAAACCAAATACATCTAATTTTTTCCCCTCGCCTCTTATGTTCGGGCTTGATGTATTATGTCTGGAAGCAAACAGTTAGAATAAGATGCATTTGCTAGATTGTGTCTTTTCATTATCGAGACAGAAGGAAAAGGCAGTTGACAAAGTTTCAGCAGACGGTGCATAGTTGTTGTTTATGTTAAACAAAACGAGAATGTGCAGCATTCGGGTGTATAAACAGCATGACAGCAATAAGCATAAAACATAAGATTGGAAGCAGATTTTACTTTCAGGCCTTGGGGAGCAGATGGATCTGAGATCATTGTGCATTTGCGTACAACTCCGAGACCTATAGAAACTCATTTATTCCCCATGTCGAGGCATTTCACAGGAGTCAAATGTAGCACGGCTGCAAATGGATGCAGCTCCACTGAACATAATGGGCTGGACCCAAGCACCTAGATCTGTCTCTTAAATTGCTCCAGCAGCACTAAGAGGATGGAAAGCTGCTTTAGTCTTGCAGTCAGAGATTGCCTTGTCATCTTAATGTTCAGGTGGCATAAAGATGAAGCAACTTCTATTTGCATCTGCTCTGTGTGCAGGCTGGAGGCAGCCGGGTAGGAAAGGAACTGCAGCCAGTGGAGCTGCAGAGGCTGGCTT